GGTGAGGCTTTGCTCAGACTCCGGGCTCCGTAAACTCAACCATCTCTGTGCTTGGGAGGCATCCTCCACTCTCTCCTTAGAAAACTCCTTTCCTGGCTGTGGCCATACCAACCCAAATGTGCCTGAGCTTGGCTGATTTCAGAAAATATTTCTGCTTTGTGCCAGGAGGGAGTAAGGTTTACTCCAGATAGTTAGGATTCATCTGCAGGCGAGAGAAAAGAGGAGGGCTTGGCTGTAGCCAGACCAGGAAGAGCTGGAGGGGTCAGGGACACAGAATGTAGAATCAGGAAGCAAAAGGACTGCAGGCGATGGACAGACATTTCTAAGCTCAAGACTGAGTCTGCTAGGTCTGAGTTGAAGGACGAAGCCTTGGCCTGAGCTGCAGGTCAGGAGTGCCTGGGTCAATGAAGTCCACAAAGAAAAAGGTGAATCTTCGTTTGCTCTTTTCTTTCCACTGCAGCCCCAGAATGTTGATGTTGACCGTTGCTCTCCTAGCTCTTCTCTGTGCCTCAGCCTCTGCCAGTGCCAGTAAGTGAGATACCAGGAGCCTGGTAATGGGGACATGGGAAGGCAGCCTTGGGCACTGCTGTTGGCCAAAGCTTTTGGAGGCTGGCTTGGGGTGGGGAGCTGGGATGTGGGAGGAACAGGGGTGGTGCAGAGAAACTGAACTCCTGGAAGATTTCTCCCTCTAACTCCTGCTTGCCCCTCCAGTTCAGGCCAGGTCTTCCTCCTATAGCGGAGAGTATGGAGGGGGTGGTGGAGAGAGATTCTCTCATTCTGGCAACCAGCTGGACGGCCCCATCACCGCCTTTCGGGTCCGAGTCAGCAAATACTACATCATAGGGTAAGATTCTTTGAGATCCCGGCTGGGTGCAGTGGCTCACACCTGTCATTACAATGCTTTGGGAGGCAGAGGCAGATCACTTGAGGCCAGGAGTTCCAGCTCAGCCTGGGCAAGATAGCAAGACCGCATCTCTACCAAAGAAAAACAAAAACGAAACTTAGCCAGGCATGGTGGCAAGCACCTGCAGCCTCAACTACTCAGGAGGGAGAGGCGGGAGGATTGCCTGAGCAATCAGGATGCTGAGGCTGCAGTGAGCCAAGGTTGAATCACTGCATTCCAGCCTGGGTGACAGGGTCTCTTAGTTGGCAAAATGAGTTGAAGTTACCTGTAGGATCTTACAGGGCTCACTCAGGCTTCACAGTCTGTAGGACGAGCAGATCTGTCATCCCTGCCATCACCATTCTCCTTCCCTCCTCCCTTCTCCCCCAGTCTCCAGGTGCGTTATGGGAAGGTGTGGAGCAACTATGTGGGTGGCTCCTCAGGAGACCTGGAGGAGATCTTTCTGCACCCTGGGGAATCCGTGATCCAGGTTTCTGGGAAGTATAAGCGCTACCTGAGGAAGCTGGTCTTTGTGACAGACAAGGGCCGCTATCTGCCTTTTGGGAAAGACACTGGCACAAGTTTCAATGCCGTCCCCCTGCATCCCAACACGGTGCTCCGATTCATCAGTGGCCGGTCTGGTGCCGTCATCGATGCCATTGGCCTGCACTGGGATGTCTACCCCAGTACCTGCAGCAGCTGCTGACCCCCCTCCCCTTGGCAGGGGCACTGTGGTAAGGAGTAAGAACTCACTTATCACTCACCCCCATCCAAATGGCTCAATAAAAAATACGGCTAAGGTTGGTGTGTGTGTGGGCATCTGTAGCTAGGATCTGCCTCCTGACTCAGCCGGGGGACGTGCGAATCTCACTTCTGGCTGGCTTTGGACATCAGTCTGGGAAGAGTGGGAAGATGAGGGAGAGGTGTGTAAGAATCCTGGGCTTTGTGCTATGATTTATCAAGAGGAGATGGGATTCTGGCTTGCATCAATGCTCTTCAAGGACAGCTCTTCAGAATGTTAATCCAAACAGGAGTCCTGGATCTCCTGGGTTTTCTCCATGTTGGTCAGGCTGGTCTCTAACTCTTGACCTAGAGGAAGGCCTAGTTGTGGCTTTTAAACCCCAGATGTCCCACCCTCCAGCTCTCTTCACCCCTGGTCCTCCCCTTGAGAAAGTGCTAAACTCACATGCTGTGTGTGGGTGGCTGGGACCATTCCCCTTTGTTCTTTCCCAAAACCCACTTAACTCCTGAAACAGCTGAAGTCTGTGCCCACCAGGCTGAACTCGTTAAGGAATAAATGGGAGTTGAGAAAACATAGGCAGCAAGAAGTTTGGTCTGGGCTGCCAGAAAATAGGCAAGTCAGTTATGGGGGGCGATGTAAGGCAAAAGGGTTTTGTGTCTTTTTAAAATCCCAGACAGGAGAGTCATGAGCATGTTCACATGATAAAGAGGAACAAAGAGGAAGAGGCTGAAGATTCTGGAAAGAGATCACTAATAAGGTCTTAAAAAAGATGGATGAGGATGATTTATGTAGTTGGGGCAAGAAATTTTAAGAAGGGAAGAAAAATAAAATGAGTGAAGGTATACGTTAGTTTTGTTAAAGTTATCAGCATCTGGCCAGGCGCAGTGGCTCACACCTGTAATCCCAGCATTTTGGGAGACCGAGGCAGGAGTTGGAGAACATCCTCCCAAAACCCCGCCTCTACTAAAAATACAAAAATTAGCCAGGTGTGGTGGCAGGCACCTGTAATCCCAGCTATTTTCAAGGCTGAGGTACAAGAATTGCTTGAACGCTGGAGGCAGAGATGAGTTGAGATAGCACCACTGCACTCCAGCCTGGATGACAGAGTGAGACTGCATCTCAAAAAATTAAATTTTTTTAAAAGAATGTTATCAGTATCATAATGGAGTCACATATGTCATATTCTAACAAAATGGAACCAAACTGACACCTAAACTAAGTGTCACACCTGATAACACCTAGGAGGACTGGGTGGAGAATCAGCAGACAATGGCAGGGAGTAGCAGTTTGCTGACCAAGGTCGGGTAAAAGGATCACCCATCAGGCAGGTTCACACACTAGCTGAAAATGCTGGTCTTTGTGACAGACAAAAGCTGCTACCTGCCTCTTGGGAAACACAGGCACCAGTTTTATTTTTATTTTTATTTTTGAAACAGAGTTTTTCTCTGTCCCTGAGGCTGGAGTGCAATGGTGTGATCTCAGCTCACTGCAATCTCTGCCTCCTGGGTTCAAGTGATTCTCCTGCCTCAGCCTCCTGAGTAGCTGGGATTACATGCATGCACCACCACGCCTGGCTAATTTTGTATTTTTGGTAGAGATTAGCCTTCTCCATGTTGGTCAGGCTGGTCTTGAACTCCGGACCTCAGGTGATCTACCTCCCTTGGCCTCCCAAAGTGCTGGGATTACAGGTGTAAACCACCAGGCCTGGCCGGCACGAGTTTTAGTGCCATTCTCTTGCACCCCGATACTGTGCTTTAACTCATCAGCTACAGTGCTGGATCCCTCACCACTGCCAGTATGGTGCTGGCCATACGTCCGCCCCAATGACTGCAGCAGCTGTGGCACCCCAGCCTCCTCTCTGGCAGGGGCACTGTGGTGGGGAATGAAGACTTCTCTATCATTAGCCTCCATGCAGTTGGCTCAAGAAAAGGATATGGTGGCTGGGCAAGAGGGCTCATGCCTGTAATCCCAGCACTTTGGTGCTCAAGTCGGGAGGGTTGCTTGAGCCCAGGAGTTCAAGGTCAGGTGGGCAACACAGCAATGTTTGTAGACAAAATGAGGAGTTGAAGTTTCCTGTAAGATCTTCTAGGGCTCACCCAACCTTCATGTGCAGTGGGACCGGCAAGAAATCTGTTATCCCTGTCACCAGTTTGAAGGTCTCAGTGTGTCATTTCTGAAAAGTTCAGGTCCCACCTGAGAAGCTGGTCTTTTTGAGGGACAAGGGCCACTGCCTCCTTTTGGGAAAGACATAGCGGCATGAATGTCGATGCTGGTGTCTCCAAACATAGCATCACGCTCCGATTCATCAGTGATTCCCTAATCAATGCCATTGGCTTGTGCTAGGACCATCTATCCCAGCTTATCCAGTGACTTCAGCAGCTGCAGAGCCCCAGCCTCTTCTTAGGCAGGGGCACTGTGGTGAGGAGGGAGGATTCCCTTATCACAAATCTCCATCCAATTGGTTCAATAAACAGATATGGTGGCCCAGCACTGTGGCTGACGCCTGTAATCCCAATACTTCCAGAGGCCAAGGCAGGAGGATCACTTGAACCTTGGCGTTTGAGGTTGCCATGAGCTATGACCATACCCGAACCCTCCGGCTGAGTAACACAGTGAGACTTCGACTCTAATAAGAAAACAAATGCCATTTTACAAGTGTACACTTTCATGGTAGTATATTCCCTGTGTTGTAAAACCATCACCACCACCTCATTCCAGAACATTTCCACCACTCCCAAAAGAAAATGGTTATATCTGTTCTCTGTAGTGCCAATTCCTCAGCCCCTCACCATCTCCTGGCAACTACTGCTCAGGTGTAGTTTCTGTGTCTGTGGGTTTGTTATTGTAACTTGAAAGTTCATTAATGTTAATTTTGTTTCATTTTGAATACAGTAAATATGGATAAAAATCCATATACACAGAGAGCATCTTTAGAGGTCTTGTTTTTATTTATTTTATTTTTTGAGATGGAGTCATACACTGTTGCCCATACTGGAGTGCAGTGGCTGCGATCTCGGCTCACTGCAACCTCCGCCTCCCAGGTTCAAGCAATTCTCCTGCCTCAGCCTCCTGAGTAGCTGGGATTACAGGCGCCCACCATCGCGCCAGGCTAATTTTTTTTGTATTTTTAGTAGAGACGGGGTTTCACCATGCTGGCCAGGCTGGTCTCCAACGCCTGATCCACCCACCTTGGCCTCCTGAAGGGCTGGGATTACAGGCATGAGCCACCGCGCCGGCCGAGAGGCCTCATTTTTTAAGACCGTAATGGGATCCTCCCAAGACTAAACGTTTGAGAAACACTGATCTAAGATTTGTGTTTTGTTTTGTTGTTCAATCAGGTGGAACAGAATAATGTCTAAACAGGGCCCTACCTACCTGGAACTCAAAGATGGAATGATCTTCCCTGGCCAAGCTTCCAGAAGGGACAGGGAGCTACTTAACAGACCGCAGGACCGGTAAGGACCTGGGTCTGAGAATCGGAACGGTGAATGTCGGAACCGTGAGTGACGGAACCGAACAGACGTGGTGGCCCCTTTGCTGGGGCTGCAGTTCCACGATCCACACAACGACCCTAGCTCCGCAGACAAGCCAAGCACCCAAGGAGGCAGAAACTGCTGAGTGAAGGGAAAGGGAGCCCAGTGCCGGGCGGCGCTCAGCAACTCCCCCAGCCGCCATAGTCGCCAACATCTCTGTGTCTGGGTTTGTACCGCAGCGCGCGTTCCGTTGTCAACGGCTGCGCGGCCCACGCGCGCTCTTGCGTCCTAATCAAGGTAACCTCTCCTTGAGTACCGGGACTCCAGCGCTGGGGGGCGGGGATGGTTGCTAACGCAGCTCTCTGCAGGGCAGATCCGCCAGCACCCGCACGCACACTACGGGATGGAGCAGTCTAACGGAAACTCAAAGTCGCTCCTAGGTTGCCATTCTCGGTAAGATTTCTGAATAAAATTAATTCTTTAAATGCCTGAGTTAGGGCCGGGCGCCGTGGCTCAAGCCTGTAATCCCAGCACTTTGGGAGGCCGAGGCAGGTGGATCACGAGGTCAAGAGATCAAGACCATCCCGGTCAACATGGTGAAACCCTGTCTCTACTAAAAATACAAAAAATTAGCTGGGCATGGTGGCGCGTGCCTGTAATCCCAGCTACTAAGGAGGCTGAGGCAGGAGAATTGCCTGAACCCAGGAGGCGGAGGTTGCGGTGAGCCAAGATCGCGCCATTGCACTCCAGCCTGGGTACCAAGAACGAAACTCCGTCTCAAAAAAAAAAAAAAAAAAAAAAAAAAAAAAAAAGCCTGAGTTAGCCAGGTGTGGTGGTTCACGCTTGTAATCCCAGCAGGGGGGGCAGATCACCTGAGGCAGTTCAAGACTAGCCTGAGCAACGTGGTGAAACGCTGTCTCTACTAGTAATACAAAAATTAGCTGAGCATAGTAGCAGGCGCTTGTAATCACAACTATTCGGGAGGCTGAGGTAGGACAATCTCTTGAACCTGGGAGGCAGAGGTTGTGGTGAGCCCAGATCATGCTACTGCACTCCAGCCTGGGGCGGACAAGAGTGAAACTCCATCTCAAAAAAAAAAAAACGCCTGAGTTTTTCTTTAGTTGACAGTTTTACTTTTTCGTCTTCCTCAGAGCCAGCCTCACCATTGCAATGAAGACATCAATTAAGCCAGGCACAGCAGCTACAAACGCTGAGCTCAGTTCCTGCAGGGAAGGACCTTCTACAGAGAGCTACCTGGGGACTGTGAAGCTGGACCCCAGGCGGAGTCTAGTCCTCTATCATCTAGCCCCCATTCTCTTCTCCAACACTGCTGTGTCCCAGATTTAATCTTCATGTACTTGAAGGACAGAATCATCAGCCTCACGCACTAATTATTCTTTATGGTACAAACTCTATGTTCTGCGTTTGCCCAGGCAGGAATACAGTAGTAGCATGATCTCTGCTGACCACAACCTAGCTTCCTGGGTTCAAGAGATTCTCCCACCTCAACCTCCCAAGTAGCTGGGAGTACAGGCATGCGCCACCACACTTGGCTAATTTTTAAAATGTTTTGTAGAGAAGGGGTCTCACTAGGTTGCCCAGGCTGCTCTTGGACTCCTAGGCCCAAGCCATCCTCCCACCTTAGCCTCCCAAAGTGCTGGGATTACAGGAATGAGCCACCACATCTGGCCTCCTTCTTTTAAAGACATAGTTTGGAAGTTAATTAAAAAAAAAAAAGTCGTTTCTTTCTGTCACCCAAGCTGGAGTGCACAGGCATGATCTTGGCTCACTGCAACCTCCACTCCCCAGGTTCAAGCAATTCTCCTGCCTCAGCCTCCCAAGTAGTTGGGACTATAGGCATGTGCCACTATGCCTGGCTAATTTTTTTTTTTTTTCAGATAGTCTCTCTCTGTCCCCCAGGCTGGAGTGCAGTGGTGCGATCTCAACTCATTGCAACCTCTGCCTCCTGGGTTCAAGCAATTCTCCTGCCTCAGCCTCCTGAGTAGCACCCAGCTAATTTTTGTATTTTTAGTAGAGATAGGGTTTCACCACATTGGTCAGGCTGGTCTCAATCTCCTGACGTCAGGTGATCCGTGCACCTTGGCTTCTGAAAGTGCTGCGATTACAGATATGAACCACCTTGCCCAGCCCTTGGGTTGGAGTGCAGTGGTGCAATCTCAGCTCACTACAACCTCTGCCTCCCAGTTTCAAGACATTCTTCTGCCTCAGCCTTCTGAGTAGCTGGGATTACAGGTGCCCACCACAGCACCTGGCTAGTTTTTTGTATTTTTATTAGAGTCAGGGTTTCACCATCTTGGTGAGGCTGGTCTCAAACTCTTGAGCTAAGGCTGTCTGCCCATCTCAGCTTCCCAAAGTGCTGGGAATACAGGCATGAGCCACCATGCCAGCAAACGCTGTCTCTCTTCTAGGAATCAATATAAATCATCTGGCAATTAATTATTTTTTATTTTGAGACAGAGTCTTACTCAGTTGCCCAGGCTGGAGTGCAGCAGCACCAACTAAGCTCACTGTAACCTCCACCTCCCGGGTTCCAGCCATTCTCTTGCCTCAACCTCTTGAGTAGCTGGGATTACAGGTGCACACCACCATGCCTGGCTAATTTCTGTATTTTACAACAGGGTTTCACCATGTTGACCAGGTTGGTCTCAAACTCCTGACCTTAGGTGATGTACCCACCTCTGCCTCCCAAAGTACTGGGATTACAGGCGTGAGCCACCACACCCAGCCCTAATTTTTGTATTTTTAGTGGAGATGGGGTTTCCCCAGGTTGGCCAGGTTGGTCTCGAACTCCTGACCTCAAGTGATCTGCCTGCCTCAACCTCCCAAAGTGCTGGGATTACAGGCATGAGTCACCACGCTTGGCCAAACCACCCTAATTTCTACCAGCCAGATGCAGATCCTTAAAACAACCCTAGGAGGTATTTCAACCATTATTCCCTTTTAATATCTGAGGAAATGGAGGCACAGAGAGGTTAAATCTCTGCCCTTGGTGGTGTGGCACCAAGGCACTGTACCTAAATGATTTATTCAAATGTAGAAGTCCTATCTCTTTGATCTATGGTCTTTCCACTATTTCTGGCGGATTTCTTACCAAATACTGAAGTTGGCAACAAATGTGAAAACTTGAGCATCCTTTTTTGACAGGCAAGGAAGACCAAACTGCCAATTGTCAATGTCAGAGGTTCTCAAAGTATGGTCCAGGGACTTCTGGGAGTCCCTGATACACTTTTGGTGGGTCTGCAAGTTCAAAAATATTTTCATAATAAAACTAAGATACCATTTGACTTCCCTTGCATTCTTTCTCAATTATATAGTGGAGTTTTAAAAATACTATATGTGACATCACAACAGCATGAATGCAAAAGCAGATATGAGAATCTAGTTTTTTGTTTGTTTGCCTTTGAGACAAGGTCTCTGTCACCCAGGCTGGAGTGCACTGGCACCATCATGGCTCACTGCAGCCTGTACCTCCTGGGCTTAAGCAGTCCTCCCCGCTCCATCTCCCAAGTAGCTGGGACTATGAGGTGTGTGCCACCATGCCTGGCTACTTTTTTTTTTTTTAAGAGATGGAGGTCTAGGCTGGGTGTGGTGGCTCACACCTATAATCTCAGCACTTTGGGAGGCTTAGGCAGGCAAATCACCTGAGGTTGGGAGGTTGAAACCAGCCTGGCCAACATGGAGAAACCCCATCTCTACTAAAATACAAAAATTAGCCCTTCGTGGTGGCATGTGCCTGTACCCAGGAGGCGGAGGTTGAGGTGAGCTGAGATCACGCTATTGCATTCCATCCTGGGCAACAGGAGCGAAACTCTATCTCAGAAAGAGAGAGAGAGAGAGGAGAGAGGAGAGAGAGAGAGAGAGAGAAAGAAAGAGAGAGAGGAGAGAGAGAGAGAGAGAGAGAGAGAGAGAGAGAGAGAGAGAGAGAGAGAGAGAGGTCTCACTGTGTTGCTCAGGCTGGTCTCAAATTCCTGGGCTCAAGCAATCCTCCCAGCTCAGCCTCCCAAAGTATTGGGATTACAGGCGTGAGCCACTGCACCCAGCTGTTATATTTATCTTAAGCTAGACATTAGATTTGTAAAAATGTAAAATTTTGCCACTTTTTTCACTTTTTGTTTTGGAAAATAGTTTTAAATGTTACTTATATGAAATTGGTTTGTTACCATAATTTTTGGCAGTTTTTAAATTGAGATATAATTTACGTAACATAAAATGTACCATTTTAGGTGGGGCATGATGGTTTATGCATATAATCGCAACACTTTGAAAGGCTGGGGCAGGAAGATTACTTGAGGCCAGGAGTTCAAGACCAGCCTGGGCAAAAAAGCTTAAGACCCTGTCTCTACAAAAAAAATATCTGGGCATGGTGGCTCACGTTGGCAATTCCAACATTTTTGAAGGCCAGGGCAGGGGAATCACTTGAACCTTGGAGTTTGAGATTGTCATAAATTATGATGGTACTATCTCACTCTGACCTGGGTGACAAGAGTGAGACCTTGTCTCTAATAAGAAAAAAAAAATTACCATTTTAAAAGTGTACACTGGCAGCTGGGCACGGTGGCTCATGTCTATAATCCCAGCACTTGGGAAGCTGAGGCAGAAGGATTACCTGAAGTCAGGGGTTCGAGATCAGCCTGGCCAACACGGTGAAACCTTGTCTCTACTAAAAATACAAAAAAGTTAGCCAGGCATGGTGGTGTGTGCCTGTAATCCCAGCTACTTGGGAGGCTGAGGCAGGAGAATTACTTGAACCTGGGAGGCAGAGGTTTCAGTGAACCGAGATGGTGCCACTGCACTCTAGCTTGGGAGACAGAAGTGAAACTCTGTCTCAAAAACAAACAAAAAACCCAAAAACCCTCATATACACAAAACATCTTTGGAGACCTCATTTTTAAAGACTGTAGTGGGATCCCAAGCGAAACGTTTCAGAAACAGAGTCCCACTCTGTCGTCAGGCTGGAGTGCAACGGTGCAATCTTGGCTCACTGCAACCTTCACCTCCCAGGTTCAAGCGATTCTCCTGCCTCAGCCTCCAGAGTAGCTGGGATTACAGGCGCCTGGGATTACAGGACTGAGCCACCGCGCCCAACCTGTGTTTTGCTTTGTTGTTCAGTAGAGTGGAACACAACGTCTAAACAAGGGCCCTACCTATTGGGGCTCAAAGGTGGACTGATCGTCCCTGGTCAACCTTACAGAAGGGACAGGAGCTACTCAACGAACCGCTGTACCCTTAAGTACTGGGAACTGGAACCGTGGGTGAGGGGGATTGAGTCACAGACTGTTTTCCATACTTCGCCGACGTGCTGAGTGCCAAGTTATAAAGACAGGATCCAAGCTGCTCTCCTGGGCTGACATATACGCGAGGGGACCTACAGGGGCCGTGGGCCCAGCAGGCAGCAAGCGCAACGTGACTGCCCACAATCCAGTCCCTGTGGCCCAGATCTACGGAACCGACCAGACGTGACAGCCCCTTAGGTGGGGCTGCAGTCCCATGATCCACACAACGACCCTGGCTCCACAGACAAGCCAAGCACCCACGGAGGCAAGAAACTGCAGAAAGTGAAGGGAAAGGGAGCCCACAGCCGGGCGGCGCTCAGCAGCTCCCCCAATGGCCACCGTCGCCAATGTCTCCGCGTCGGGGTTTGTACCGCAGAGCACTTCTAGCCGTCAACGGCTGCGCGGCCCACGCGCGCGCATGCGCCCTGACCAGGGTAACCTTTCCTTGGGGACCTGGAGGCCAGCGCTGGGGGGCGGGATAATGGCGAGCCACACGCAGGAGCTTCCGGCGGCGCGTTGTCATGATTGGTGGAGCCTGGGGAGGGGGCGGGGCACCGGGAAATTCGAATGGGAGAAGCGGGCCCAAGAAGGGCGTGGAATGGCCGCAGGGGTCTCGACGCTTCAGAGGCGACGCGAGATGGCGGCAGCGACGGCGACCTCAGGTACTTGAGGCCGGCCTGGGCAAGGCGGGCACCGACGTCTGGACCTTAGTGGGAGTCATGCGTCGGAGTGTGGTCTAGGCTCCGCGGGTTGTCGCGGAGAGGCCGCCATGGCGTGGGGGTAGGGGAGAGGGAGACGGTTGAGTGTGGGGTCTCGAACCGGTCGGTCCACCCGGCTCTTGCTTCTCCCTGTTTCCTGCTCTCACCTCGGGTCAGTAGACGCAGGTCTCCAGCCCAGGCTCTTGGCTTGAACCCCACGCACTTTTCCTTTGTGAGTTTCGGTTTCTTCGTCTGTGAAATGGGGATCGTGGCCTCATCCCTAGAGATTACCTGAATAAGCAAGAGAAGAGTGGTGGACGCTCTAGCCACGAAAACGAGGAGAAGGGAGCTGGAGGCGTGTTTTGGGAAGGGTTCTGTATGGGACATGGTGTTTGGGTGCAGAGACTTCCCTGAGAGATGCCGGAGGGCGGGCTGAGGGTAGACCAACTGCAGCTGGGTTTGAGTTGACAGCGTAAGGTGCTCTGCGATCACAGAAAAGGGAAATAAGGGACTAAAGTTTCCTTTCACTCTAGCGTGGAAGTGAATGCTATTTAAAGGCTGTTAGGACACCCAAAATCTTGTATGTGAGTATTTGTTTACATGCGCCTCTAATCCCGGAGACTGAGTTCTGGTCAGTGATGATGGTGGGCGCCATAGTAATTTATTGGAGCCCTTGTTAGCCTCGTGAGGAAACAGACATTTAGGAGAATGCCTTACACCTATAAAGCCCGTGCTGTGTACGAGGCACAGCTGTAGGCATTTTATGATGATGAACCATTTATTGTCTGCACAATGTTATATAAGGTTGTTACTATTATTGTCTTTGTTTTACACATAAGGAAACTGATGTTAAATCGTTTGTATAGAGTTAACACAACTAGTAAATATTGGGACCTGAATTCACTCTCAAGGAGTCTAAGTCTAGAGCCTCTGCTCTTAACCATTATGCCGAAGTACATGCCATCCCTGCTGGCTGAGCACACTCTCCCCTTACCCTTTCAAGATGCATTGTGTCTGGTGCATGGTAGATACGAAAATGCCTGAATGAATAATGTCCCTTCCGAGAGGAACTTGCAATCTATTTCAATAGAGTGTCACATAACCAGATGTAATACGAAACAATGAGAGATGTGTATAAACTGAGTGTGTGCAATCTGAAGTAAACCCTTGGGTATTCTGAGAGGGCTTCATTGAGGGAGTGATACTTGAGATGGGTTTCAAAGGTTGGATAGGAGTTTGCCAGGCCTTGACTAAGAGGACAAGAATAGCAAGTGTTTTCTTATTTATGATGTAAAAGAGACCAAAGATGCTCTCTCAGCTCAATTTCCTCATCCATCAAAGGGAAAAGAGTGAATGAAATTTAGGAATTGTGGAAGAAGGGAAAATTAGAAAGCTAGCCTGCTCCAACAAGGTTGCTTTTATCATGAAAGGGCTAGACTCATGAAAGGGCCATAAACAGTTGTTTACCTGTGGCCCTCCTCTCTTCCCTCCCCTGGACTGTGAGCTCTGGGGCAGAAAAGGCAGCGAACCACTTTCATGATGGAAATGAACAAGCCAGTAATTAGTAGTTTATTCAGCAAATCTTAATTTGTTCAGCAAATGAAGATTTGCTGAGGGCCTACCCTGCACCAGTATTGGGGATAGAAAGGTGAGCGGGATAGATGATTGTTCCCAGAGTTGGCAGTCAAGTGGAGAAAGTGACACACAATAGTGGTGTATGACAAGTGCTTATGGAGGAACTAACGAGCTGTGGTTGCACCTGATAAAGGCTTACTGTCTACCAGGGGAGAGTGTTGGTTTTGTTTTTTAAGAGGAATTAAGATGTGTTTACCTCAGTCATTCCAGGGTGGGGTGCGGAGCAATGCAGATATTCTAGGGAGAGAGATTAATGTGGACAAAACCCAAAGGTGCCAGAGAACTTGGTGTTTTATAGGAACTGAAGGAAATTCATCATGACTGGTAACTTAGACTGCAAGCAAGGAAATGGAGGGAATGACTATTGGGCAGGGAGACACCTTGCTGCCACCAGCAAGGAAGGCTGTAAAGACCATGACCTTGGGCAGAGGTAGTGCAGTGGGAATGGAGAGAATTGGATTTGTTTAAGAGAGATTTAAAGAGACCGACTTGACGGATGTTAATGATGAACCAATGTGGGAGGTAAGAGACGTTGGACTTAAAGACTCCCCCTTTTGGGGGTGGTGCCATTCATTTATATCAGAGATAAAACGATGGGGAGGTTGCAGAGAGATGGGGTAGGAGGGTTCAGTTTAGGGCAAGTAGAGTTTAAGAGGAGCCGCTAGGGCAGTTGCTGCG